TTTTTCAATCAGTTATCTAAATAGTTATTTAAGTCTTTTAGCCATAGATGCTGTGATTGGATCTGGATGTTTTGCATGCAAAGCATGTAATTTACCACCAAGTTAAAGATCCAACTCTATAGTGCAATGACAAAAAATGTTAATTCCATAGCCCAGAAGTTTTTCAATTTCAAAACTCAGTTCATTTGTTGCTAATTGTTGCCACCATTATTATTAAGACCATTATTTATCTATTTACATGCATTATTATTATTATTATTATTATTATTATTATTAGCCCCCATGGCGCAATGGGTTAAACCCTTGTGTTGGCAGGACTGCTGACCAAAAGGCCGGTAGTTCAATTTGGGGAGTGGGGTGAGCTCCTATTGGTCAGCTCCAGCTTCCCATACAGGGACATGAGAGAAGCCTCCCACAGGATGGTAAAACATCTGGGAGTCCCCTGGGCAACGTCCTTGCAAATGGCCAATTCTCAATTCTCTCACACCAGAAGCGAGTGGCAGCAAAAAAAGCCAATGGGATTTTGGCCTGCATCAATAGGAGCATATTGTCGAAGGCTTTCATGGCTGGAATCACTAGGTTCTTGTGTGTTTTTTCGGGCTATAGAGCCATGTTCTAGAGGCATTTCGTCAGGAGAAATGCCTCTAGAACATGGCTCTATAGCCCGAAAAAACCCACAAGAACCTAATAGGAGCATAGTGTCTATATCTAGGGAAGTAATGCTATTCCATCTTGGTTAGACCACACCTGGAATATTGTGTCCAATTCTGGGCACCACACTTGAAGAGAGATATTGACAAGCTGGAATGTGTCCAGAGGAGGGCGACTAAAATGATCAAGGGTCTGGAGAACAAGCCCTATGAGGAGCGGCTTAAAGAGCTGGGCATGTTTAGCCTGAAGAAGAGAAGGCTGAGAGGAGATATGATAGCCATGTATAAATATGTGAGAGGAAGTCACAGGAGGAGGGAGCAAGCTTGTTTTCTGCTGCCCTGGAGACTAGGATGCGGAACAATGGCTTCAAACCACAAGAAAGGGGATTCCATCTGAACATTAGGAAGAACTTCCTGACTGTGAGAGCTGTTCAGCAGTGGAACTCTCTGCCCAGAGTGTGGTGGAGGCTCCTTCTTTGGAAGCTTTTAAACAGAGGCTGGATGGCCATCTGTCAGGGGTGATTTGAATGCCATATTCCTGCTTCTTGGCAGGGGTTGGACTGGATGGCCCATGAGGTCTCTTCCAATTCTATGATTCTATGATTCTCCAGGTAAACAAATGGTTAATGATGTAATGGTTTTAGGTTACATCTGTTAGGGGTCAGCATCACGAATGACCCCATTAGATAGGCTCTATGACATCCCACTCAGTGCCAAGAGGCCTTCTACTAGTACACCCTACAGTCATAAATGATCAGCTTTTACTATGAATGCTGAAAAGGAGCACTTTGACCCACTTAACAGCAATTTGTTCATCTTTTCTCCTTTCTATTGACCCTTTTGGACAGAGATCTTCAATTCTGTTCCCTCAAAATTTATCTGGCAACAACTCATCCTGCATCTGACTTAGGAAGGCTTTCAAAGCCTTTTTTTTTTCTCCTGGCACACCAAGACATGTCTTTGTGGCCCCCAAGACCTCAAAGGTCTCGTCTGTCCATTAGTACATCCAGACCCAATATAGACCTTATCTGTTGTTCTAACCCGGCTTGTTAAGCATCCTTTCACATCCATGGCGTTATTTCTTTACACTGCCTCTTCTCCAAAGTATCCTTTATCATAGTTATTACTGCTGCCCATCAAGCAAATGAATTGTGTGCTCTTAGGCTGATCTTCCATACCATGTTTGGCACGGAGACAAAGTGATGTTAAAAACAGACATTACCTTTCTCAGACAAACCACTATTTCTCCTCTTGTTGGCACACCTGGTTTGCTGGTATTGTGCTGGATGACTTGTAACTGGGGGAAATGGCTGTTGGAGTGTTTGTCAGAGTAGCGTTAGTGGCCCACAGAATGTCTCAGCCCCTTTTACTCCCAGTGTGATAAAAAAATACACATTAGTTTGTTGCTTTAAGTAGAAACAAAAATATAGTTCTATTCACTGTAGGTCAAAAATACAAAGCAAAACAGAAAAATTGTTCTCACCAATATACAACAAACAATATCTCCAGTGAGTCTTCTTCTTTACGCAACAATATGCAAACATATAGCAAAATAATACAGTCTCTCTACTTAGTTATCAGTAGAATGTCCTTGTCTTACCATAAACAAGCAGTTTCTCTGGCATTCCAAACTGCTTCACTCTTCAGCTTCAGGACGCTGCGTAACCGCTCCCAGCAACAGCCAAAGGTTTCTTCAGATCAAACAAGCCATCAAGCTAAGCCAAAATACAAAGCTCAAAGCTTGCAAACACAGTGCCTTGATATATGCAGGAACTGATAACACACCCAATTAACTTGTGGCAGCTGTAACAGAAAAGATTCTGATCCTCCCTGTTACTTAGAATAAGCCTGTTGTAAACCCCTAGTAGCAACAGTTTTTTAATAGTGGTTCTGTGCAGGCACAATACCCATAGTTGTGAATGCTCTGATGACCACACGATGAACATAAGTTACAGGTAAGCAAGGTGTTTTACTCACAATAGGCACCTGGTGCAAATGACATACATTTTGATTTGCTGAATTCTGAACCCGGGAAATTATTTTGGGTTGTGTGGAGCAACAAGAATATCATTTTCAATAATTCAATTTTGGACAGGTTCAGAGGGCTTTTGGTTTGTTTTGTTACTGCTCTCAAACAATTGGGAATGTAAAATCCATGCCCAACCTATTGCATCTTATTCAGGAATCTACAAAATATTCTGATCTATCTTCTGTCCACCTCTGATGTATCACTTTGGAGGAAGAGGAAATCTTTCTGAAGGCAGAAACACAAGGGCTAGTAAATTTTGGGGGTGGGGAAATAAGACATTTCTTTCTGAAGGCAAAGATGTCCAAAAGTTTGAATCATGTATGCGATGTAATTAAGAAACCTCTACATAAGTAGCTGTTTTCAAATGTGGTTGTTCTACTTAATTGATTTTGCCACCAGAGGAGTAAAATAAATAAATAAAAAGGCGCCTTCCCTGTGAATTACTGGAGGCGGCTGAGACTCTGTTTGAATCTAATTGCTGCAAATGTGCCTGTTTGTTGCTGGTAATAGTTATTGTAAAAGAAGTGGGAATGTGTGTGTGGCAGTGTGTGAGTGAGGAGAGGAGTGGAGGGAGAGCTGCTGCCGGCAGCTGCATGGGACTGCCTCTAAGATGGTGCTTCCCACCGCCTTCATCAGCACACCCAAAAAAACTGCTGAACGTTTTCTGTGTAAGCTCTGTTTAAAAGTGTTTTATTCATATTTAATTGCCGCCTTGCTGCAGCTCCCTTCTTTAATTACTGTGTTAGAGAGTAGGATATGAAAATGCCATTTGATTAGTTTTCTTTCATTTTTTTTTGCAGCTATTATGTGTTTCTTGACCCCAAGCGTGTATATGTATATATACATAACAAATATCCTCATGTATAAGTTGACCTCATGTATAAATCAAGGGCAAATACTGGGGGCAAAATCAAGCTCTGAGTATTACCAGGGAAGGAATCCTACTGGAGCATTGCAGCACACCCAAATACCTGGGAGTCACTCTGGACCAGACTCTGACTTATAAGAAGCACTGCTTGAATATCAAGCAAAAATTGGGTGCTAGAAATAATATTGTACGAAAGCTGACTGGCACAATCAGGGGATCGCAACCAGATACAGCGAAGACATCTGCCCTTGCACTCTGCTATTGAATACGCATGCCCAGTGTGAAATACATCACACAATGTTAAAACAGTGGATGTAACTCTTAATAAGACATGCTGCATTATCACATGATGTCTACATCCCACATCACTGGAAGAAATTATACTGTTTAGCTGGTACTGCACCACCTGACTTCACCTGTCGGGAAGTAGCAGCCAACAATGAAAGGACCAAGGTCTTGACATCTTAGGCCCATCCTCTGTTCAAATATCAGCCAGTATGCCAACACCTTAAATCAAAAAACAGCTTCCTAAGATCAAGAGAGATACTCACAGGAACACCTCAGGAAGCAAGAGTTCAAAAGTGGCAGGCTAAAACCAAGCACCTCAACAATCAGTAGCTGAGACTGGATGGGAAGTTCATCCTGGTCACACAGAAGAGTGGACGACTTGGAAGGCGCTGAACAGACTGCTCTCTAGAACCACAAGATGCAAAGCTAACCTTAAGAAATGGGGCTACAAAGTGGAATCCACGACATGTGAGTGTGGAGAAGAGCAAACCACTACCTACTACAATGCAACCTGAGCCCTACCACATGCTCAATGAAGGACCTTCTCATAGTGACACCGGAGGCACTCCAAGTGTCCAGCTTCTGGTCAATGGGCATGTAACATGACATTTAGCATGGCATCAAGTTTTTTTTAAATTTTGTGTTTTTAAATGCATTTAACTGTACTCTCCACTTGCTTCTGACACAATAAATAAATAAAATTCTGGGTGCATATGTCTCTCCTATGCATATACTGAAATAAATCTATGTAGACATCATTGAATAATACATACAGCCCACTTGTCCATGTTTACTTGGACAGTGATTCCCACAGACTCTGTTCCCAGATAAATTGGTATAGGATTAAAGCTTAAAACGCCAGGAATTGACTAAGAGTTTTTGGACAAATAGCCATTGCTTTTCCCCATTTTTACTTTGATTCATGTAATATGTCAACAAAATATATGATATCTTCTTCCTGAAGATAAACAACAGTTTTATTTTCTGACATGCATGATGTGTTGAAGCCTCCAGTTTTCCTAGCAATGTTTTTCTCTCTGAATTATGTTTCGGTGGCATATTTCTCAGTTTTATCCTCCATGACACAGCAGGGCCAAGGGCTAAAGCACTGACAAATTATACATCCGTGCAAGTCTAACCACTTTCCTTCTTTTTCACTTTGCAGATTAATGAGTTGTTTGTAAGTTTTGAAGATGCCCCATTGGGAGCAGCATCCTTAGCTCAAGTCCACAAGGCTGTGCTGCAGGATGGAAGGACAGTTGCTGTAAAGGTCCAGCACCCAAAAGTTCAGGCACAGAGTTCAAAGGATATTCTGCTGATGGAGGTAAATCAGGGTGTTTTGGAGGTCACCTTACAAAGCATCTACTCAGGTTATGAAATGTGACTGGTAGGTTCTGTGAGTTGTGGACAAAAAAGTAACTTTGGTGCAGGCAAGCTGAAAAGTGAGAGAGGATCTTCAGATTTCTGCCAGGCCTATGATTCTGTTGTTTTCAGTCTGTTACATGGATGCCAAGGGAGCACGTGATTTAACACACTGCTATTTGTAGAATCAGGACTACAGCGGAGTCTGTGTGAGCCATCCATTTGGCCAATCACCAGATCCTTCCTCCCAGGGGATGTACAGCTTAATAATAATAATGATAATAATAATAATAATCATCATCATCATCTTTATTTATATTCCGTCACCATCTCCCCAAAGGGACTAGGGGCGGCTAACATGAGGCCAAGCCCAAGGATTACAATAAGGCAAAATAAAATACATACAGCAGACAATAACATCAAATAAAATGCTTAACAATAATAAAATAATAACAATAAAATAATAACAATAAGATAATAACTCAAAATAAAAGTGATAAAAGAATTAAACATAGTGAGCTGGGCCAAATGCAAAAGATAACATTATAAAAACCCCTGGGTGAGATAGATAAATAGGGTGGTGGGTCTAGTGGGATACTCTGGTGGGAAAAACAATGGGGATTAATTTTCAATGAAGGATGAGATTAAGTGCATCAGAAGGACAAATTTGTACTGGGATTGGCGTGGTATGGAGATTTGGGGGTTATTGTTCATTCCTCAAAAGCACACCAGAAAAAGCCAAGTTTTTAGACTCTTCCTAAAAGCTGCCAGGATGGATGCTTGCCTAATCTCCCTAGGTAGCGAGTTCCAGAGCAGGGGGGCCACCACAGAGAAGGCCCTCTCCCTTGTCCCCACCAACCTCACTTGTAATGGAGGTGGAAGCGAGAGGAGGTTTGGGGAGAAGCAGGAAAGACAGCCAATGGGTTTAAACTAGGCATGGGCAAACTTCAGCCCTCCAGGTATTTTGGACTTCAACTCTCACAAATGCCTAGTTTAAACTGACTGGCAGATCCAGCTGAAGTAGTCTGGATGAAGGTTTCCATTTGAAGTGGGGGGCAGATTTAAGGGCCCGCACCCTCTTGTGCTCTACAGTCATTTTTGAAGCAGCACTCTCTACTCCTTGTGGTCAGCGGGAGCTACATAAACACTTCATATTTGACTGGATTTTCTTTTGTGTTGGATTTTTGTCATTTGTCACAATGTTTGGAGTGATTGGCATGGATTCTGGATCTGTGACATTATTACCAGGGTCTCATGGGGGCTTGTGGGAGTTAGGGGATGTGGCCACTTTGAGTCTTCTTGTGGAGAGAAAAAGCGGGGTGGCAAATAAACATCGTCGTCGTCGTCGTCATCATCATCATCATCATCATCATCATCATCATCATCATCATCATTTATTGTTCTGGCCCAGTGTTGAGCCCTATTTTTAGCACCAAAAAAATCAAGCAAATGAAAAGTCCTGACTCTCCCTGTGCCTGCCATTTATCTTCCGTTATCATTTCTCTCCAAGTCCCTTTTCGGCTGAAGTCAGTTTTGCCATTACCTGAGAAAAACTATCCAGACAAAGAAGCTACGTGGAGGGAAGTTGAAGAAGATGGAACAAACGCTTACTACATATGTTCCCTTTGTTGCTACTGTTGGGACTGTCCCCCTTCTTTTTGATGTGTCTTTTTATGTGGTTTTTGTGTTTCAACTATTCTCATCATACATAGTTTTGTACTCAAGGCTGGCTTTATGTGACTCTCTGGCACTGCCATTGCCACTTAGCACGTCATGAAGGTGCCATTTGGAAATGCTGATTTCTCTGGTTTCTTTTTCAGATTCTTATCCTGGCTGTGAAGCAGATCTTCCCAGATTTTGAGTTTATGTGGTTAGTGGAAGAAGCAAAGAAAAACTTGCCTCTCGAACTAGACTTCCTTAATGAGGGAAGAAATGCTGAGAAGGTGGCCCATATGCTTCACCGTTTTAGCTTTCTGAAGGTAAGGTGTATGTTTTTGTGTGCGCTTGCATTTTTGTGCTTTCAGGTGGATGTTATCCAAATATTCATCAGAAACAGTACATTATTAAATTATTACATAGAGAAGAGACTCTAAAAGAAGATACTTTAAAGTTAATGAATGAGGTTCTCCTGAAGATGCTATATTTAAAAAAATTAGGCATTTGAAGCCTCATCTCACCAAGGCTGAACAGCAGGAAGATTAAGTCTGAACTCTGTACTGGAGGCACTGCCTGGAGAAAGAAAGAAGTACCCATTTTTACCAGCCAGTTTTGGGTGCCATAGCAGCGGCTGAATAAAACACAGCTGGGACACTCCTCTTTGCACATACAGCTCAGTAATTTATGGGCTGTGTGATTATTTCGGCATTGGTACATCAGCTTCACGTAAACCCAGTCTTCTAGTGCAGCAGAGTACAGAACATCCTTGTCAATCACCTGGCCAAGCATTCTAGCCCAGAACATGCTGGGATTTGAACCAGCCATTCAAATTCATGTTAGAACCTGATGTTAGAAAAGTGTGAAGACTGGGAGGGATGGACATAGTGATTAGAAAGTAAAGTTTTTAAAAAAATTGCAGAAAAGGAATCTGATTACATAATATAGAAGAGATATGATTGCTATACATTTTGCTGATGCTATTATCAGCATGCACCAAAAGAAAATAACAAATGATAGCAAAATCAATCTTGATTAAGTCTACATAGCAGTTTTTTTTACATATGGTTTGGGGCATGGTTCCCCAACTTGGTTTTGGCATGTTATCTTTCTACTAGTCATGAGCTCGGTATCTGTATCATCAGTTTAATTCATGTTTCCATTTTGTTCTGTCCATTCAGATGGTACGAAATGGGAAGGCCTCTTGTGGAGCAAAAATAAACACGATACGAAAGGCAGGCGGGAGCGGGTACTGGCTCCAAGTTTGCTTTCCAGCATCATAGTTATGGAGAGAAGAGGGATTGCGCTGAAGTCTCTTCATCAGAGATCCTTGGCATGGGGCTGGCGTCCTGCTGGCTGCTGGGGCTTGCCCCCCACCATTCGACAACTGTGCAGGCCCAGAAAGCCCTGGCAAGACTGTGCACTTTGGACCTTTGCGCACGGGCCTGTCAAGGCCTGCAGCTGAGCACCAAGTAAGTAGCGCTGCTTACTCAGTGCTCGGCTGCAGGCTCTGGCAGCCCTGTGCACAAAGGGCCAAGAGGTTCAGGCCTGCGAGGGCCTTTCTGGACCTGCACAGTTGCCAAGTGGTGGAGGGCAAGCCCTGGCAAACGGTAAGGGGCGCTCCGTACTTTGTGCTTGGCTGCAGGCCCACACATGTAGACCTAAAGCAAGGAATCTGGGCCTGCAAGGTTGTCGAGCGGTGGAGGACAAACCCCAGCAACCAGCAAGCATTCGGCAAGGCGCCAGCCCCTTCCCAAGGATCTTAGATGAAGAGACCTCAGCAACAGTGGCGCAAGGTCGGTTTCCCAATTGAAGGGGGAAACAGCAGCAGCCCTAAAACAATGGGAAAGGGGAGTATTTGTATAGAATTGCCCACCCATTGCCATCAATGGGACGAAAATATTCATTTTTTAGGATGTGAGACAAAAAAGCTCATTTGGAAAAGTGCTGTTTTTGGAAGCTAAAATGAGGCTATCCAAATTAAACAAACAGAAAGAGATAGTAATCCTATTCAAATGCCGAAGACTAGTTCCTACCACCTTCAGTTAATGGGCTGAGGATGCTAGGCATTATAATGTAATACATTTGCAAGTTCTCAAGTTGTAGAGGGCTGCTTTAGTGCAATATTGCTTAAACCAGAAGTTTAGGAGAGGTATAGAAACAAGTGTCTTTTTGTTTTCTCACCAGAAAGCTTGTGTGAACTACATGGCTGGTATAGATACTGTGGCCTTTGGAGATCCACACAGTGGAAGGATCTCCTTGTATTTGTTTTGTGGAGCTGGGATGTGTGCCCTTCTGAAAAGTTCACCATCTCCATGCAGGTTTGAGAGATAGCAAATCCTAATGGTTAGTCATTTTTCCTGCTAATTATCTTCTCTGAGGTTGGCTGACCCTTGGGAGAGATTTCATGGTTTTTGTAGACTCTGAACTTGTTCTTATCTTAACTGCTGGGCCATCAGAGGGCATCTTTCATGCATTTTCTCAGTAAATGGAAGTAGAAATGGAAATAAATCTGTTAAGAGCAGAGTGAAAGAAAGCAAATGAATCTTGGAAGGAAGCCTGGCCATGGGAAAAGGAAACTATCACCATTTAGGTAAGCTAAAGGTTTCCTTTGACATTAAGTCCAGCCGTGTCTGACTCTGGGGGTTGGTGTTCATATCCATTTCTAAGCTGAAGAGCAGGCATTGTCTGTAAACACCTCCAGGGTCATGTGGCCAGCATGACTTCATGGAGCACCGTTACCTTCCTGTTGTAACGGTGCCTATTGATTTATTCACATCTGCATGTTTTCAAACTGCTAGATTGGCAGGAGGTGGGGCTATCAGCAGGAGCTCACCCTGCTCCGCAGATTCGAACCTGCAACCTTTCAGCCAACAAGTTCAGCAGCTCAGTGGTTTAACTGACTTCGCCACTGGGGTTTATTACATGTAAAAAAGTTGTGACTTCCTTTAATGTTTTCCCAGTAATCTGTCTTTGTGAGTGCACAGTGACAGGAAACAAATAGATACCTATAGCAGTTTCATGTGCCTCCCATAAATATACTACTATTATGTTCTGCAACATGGATATAGAGGCAGTCCCTAAGTTACGAACCTACCTTGTTTGTTCGGAAGTTGAATTTGTTTGTAAGTCAGAATAGGCACATTTTTAAAAGTGTAACTCCAGCCATATATATAGAGGCACAGAAAGCAAAACAAACTCCACAGTGGTAGTAACCCTATATATGCGCTTTGCGTAGCGTAGGGAAGAGTTGCCACCACTGTGGAGTTTGTTTTGCTGCCTGGGCCCCTGTTAAGAATATTTCACCTTCTTTTCTGTTCTTGTGATAATTGGATTTGGAAAAAAAATGGCTTGTTGTGGAAACAAGGTTTGGTGATAAAGCTTCATTTAAGGCACTGTTCCCCCATGATAACTTTTTCAGGAGCGTATGTCCCTTCCTAGGAGTAGATTTCTCTCACTTCCTGTTGTATCACCCCGTTCTTAACTATGAGTCATTTGTAAGTTGGATGTTTGTAACTTGGGGACTGCCTATAAAGAAATATAATTCGATACTCACATGTATATTTCTTGTGTCGAATCTAATGAAACCCTTTTCCATACTTACACATTACACAGTTGGGGGTCAGTAAGTTGTATGCCATCTTGTGTAATCCTTGCATGTATAGAAACTAGAGCTACAACATCTCCCACAGATGTCTGTTCATCATTTGCTTGAAGATGTCCATAAAGGGGGACCCCAGAACCCTTCTAAGTACCGTATATTCCGGCATATAAGACGACTGGGTGTATAAGACGACCCCCAACTTTTCCAGTTAAAATATAGAGTTAAGACGACCCCCATGCATAAGACTACAGCCGCGTATAAGATGACCCCTGACTTTCGAGAAGATTTTCTTGGGTTAAAAAGTAGTCTTATACGCCAGAATATACTGTAGTTCATTCCATCATGTAACTGCCCTTTTTGTCAAGATGTTTCTTCTAATATGTACTTGCAATCAACCTCACCTAAACCATTAGATCCAGGCTTATCCTTTGGAGGAGCAGATGATAAGATCTTGGAGTCCTTGTGGACAAAAAGTTAAACATGACCCAACAATGTCATACAGCATCAAAAAAAGCCAATGGGATTTTGGCCTGCATAAATAGTGTAGTGTCTAGATGCAGGAAAGTAAAGACTTTCTGTATATAAGTATTTCAGATTTCAGTATTAATGTCAAAAATATGTAGTATGATTTTACATAGGATTTGTGCTACATTAGAACAGTCAAGACAAATATCACTTAAGTAAAATAAACATAAAATATTAAATAACCAGAAAAATAAAATAAGGTGTAAACCCTTCTATTCTGTCTTGGTCAGATCACACCTGGAATCATACTGTGTCTAATTCTGGGCACCACAGCTGAAGGGAGATGTTGACAAGCTGGAATGTGTCCAGAGGAGGGCGCCTAAAATGATCAAGGGTCTGGAGAACAAGCCCTATGAGGAGTGGCTTAAAGAGCTGGGCATGTTTAGCCTGAAGAAGAGAAGGCTGAGAGGAGACATGATAGAAATATGTGAGGGGAATTCATAAGGAGGGAGGGAGCAAGCTTGTTTTTTTGCTACCCTGGAGACTACAGGAAAGGAGATTCCACCTGAACTTCTTGACTGTAAGAGCTGTTCAGCAGTGGAGGCTTTTAAACAAAGTCTAGATGGCCATCTGTTGGGGGTGCTTAGAATGCAATTTTCCTGCTTCTTGGCAGGGGGTTGGACTGGATGGTCCATGAGGTCTCTTCCAACTCTATTATTCTAAGTCTTTCCCTTGTTCTGTATCATGTCTCTTGTTTTCCAATAGAAGGTATTTACAGCTGACATTCACTTCTGCAGTGTGGTTACATTCTCAGAGGACCAGACACACATCTGCATTTACCCTTACATTATTGATGTCTGCAGGTACAAGGTCTGCAAACAAAATGCCTTTATGCAGAGACATGTCTTCCCTTGCAAGTACTTATGTGAACTTGCTGCCACTCATGGCTTCTCTAAGATGGTAACGCTAAAACACCAAAAGCCATGTGAGATTAGTGCATTTTGAAGAGCATAATGCTCCCTTCCTATACTTCCCTCTCTGACTTTGTGCAGGTTAGCCTTTACCAGCCTTGAATGCAGCTCCAGTGACGCTCCGCAATAGTCCCTCCCATATGTAATGCCAAGCAAACAGGCCTTCAAAGGGCACAAAAGGCCAAAGGCTGATGGCTTGTTTTAAGCGAATGTTTATTGAGGGCATTGTGCCTTGGAGAGCCATGTCGGTTGCCGCTATAACAATTGGGAGTGTGTGGAGCAAATC